TTCTACACTCGTGATATTTTCCAAGAAGTCGCCGCACTCAAAAATGTCCATCATGTCGTTGCGAAAGTACTTCAATTTCGACATCCTTCTCGGCACACGGAAGGCAGACTTTTCCACTAATTTGTACTTGTCTTGTATGTTGATTCCCCCACAGCCAAAAGATAAGGTGACGAGTTGATGGGAGACTTGCGCCAACATGTTCAAGAGCTGGGAAAGCTTGTCATGCGCGCGTGCCATTTTACGTGGTCGAACATAGTTTGGAGCGATGGTTAAAGAGGAGAGGGACTTAGAATTTGACAAATCCGGGTAGAATCCCCATGGAAGGGTGAGCTTGCTTAAATTTGGTGAGGCGTTAACCACCTCTTGAACAAGACTGGTAAGAAATGGGGTCACCATGTTGCAAGTAAGGGTGAAAGATGTCAGTTTTCCTTTTGGTGGCAACTCCGCTAGCACGACCTCCTCTTTATAAGTCATCGACTTCCTAAATTCGCCGGAAATTATCAGCTGTTTCAAATTCGAGCAGAGATTTAGCAGGATTTCATAGATTGATGATAGACAGGCTTCGTAGTCGATGGTAACCTCCAAAATTCCGATTAGATCGGGGAATTTGTCACAAACGTGCATAAGTTTGGCGGAGAAGGAGTTGATACTACGGATGGGGTATTCGGAAGTGGTTTCCCTGCACGTGGCGCTTATCCGTTTCGCGACTCGGTCGTCCATATTGAAACACAGTACGAAAACTGGAATTGGGTCGCAGAACAAATAGTACTCCTTTTCGTGGGTCAGGTTTAATGCGAGCCTCGTATTTGGCAAGGAGAGGACCATTTCGTTCCAGAAATGGGAAACGAGTCGACACGTTTTCAAAGGGGTGGAGCTCTTTTTCAAAATTTCCGTCAAATCTAAAAAAAGGCATAAAAATATGGGAATTTATGTAATTCATAATTTGCATTTTTAAGACATTAATTTTGTAATTTCAAAGTGCTAACAATCGGATTATTTAGTGCGATCTGCTGCGCGCTCCTTTCTTCGTGAGGAAGCTCCATTTTCGGTAAAACCTGAGTTAAATTAAATAAAAAAATCCAATTGTTTAAATTCAGTATTTAAAAGTTTACTTTTTCGTCTATTGTTAATCAATCATTTCACATTTCTATACAAATTTCATTAATATTAATTAACAACATTCTCTTCTACCGTCTTACCAAGCTTTGAAGGTGATACGTCTGTGAAGTTAGAACCGGTTATGAGCAAAATTGAGACTCGGAACAATACAGTATGCACACACATTATTAGCACCCCTCAAAATCGGCTAATATCTGCTGCCGTAAATTAAGTAATAAAGGTCGCCATGCCTCCAGTGACCTAAAAATGACCTAAATCTGTCGCCATGCCTCCAATGACCTTAAAATGACCTAAATCTGTCGCCATGCCTCCAGTCACCTTAAAATGACCTAAATCTGTCGCCATGCCTCCAGTGACCTTAAAATGACCTAAATCTGTCAACATGCCTCCAGTGACCTTAAAATGACCTAAATCTGTCGCCATGCCTCCAGTGACCTTAAAATGACCTAAATCTGTCAACATGCCTCCAATGACCTTAAAATTGCCTAAATCTGTCAACATGCCTCCAGTCACCTTAAAATGACCTAAATCTGTCGCCATGCCTCCAATGACCTTAAAATTGCCTAAATCTGTCAACATGGCTCCACTTGTCAATTTCTAGTCAATTTATGTCATGATTGGATTTTGACTTCCCCAGCGCGGCATTTCACTTACGGCATTCTTTGAAATTTAAAATAATGCACAATTACATGCTCCATAAGACTCCGCCGACCCGCATCCTGACAAAAAATTTCCCGCCCCGCACTTGTCAATTTCTAGTCAATTTATGTCATGATTGGATTTTGACTTCCCCAGCGCGGCATTTCACTTACGGCATTCCTTGAAATCGAAAATAATGCACAATTTCATACTCCATAAGACTTCGCCGACCCGCATCCTGACAAAAAATTTCCCGCCCCGCACTTGTCAATTTCTAGTCAATTTATGTCATGATTGGATTTTGACTTCCCCAGCCCGGCATTTGACTTACGGCATTCTTTGAAATTTAAAATAATGCACAATTACATGCTCCATAAGGCCCCGCCGACCCGCATCCTGACAAAAAATTTCCCGCCCCGCACTTGTCAATTTCTAGTCAATTCATGTCAAAATTGGATTTTGACTTCCCCAGCGCGGCATTTCACTTACGGCATTCCTTGGAATCGAAAATAATGCACAATTTCATACTCCATAAGACTTCGCCGACCCGCATCCTGACAAAAAATTTCCCGCCCCGCACTTGTCAATTTCTAGTCAATTTATGTCATGATTGGATTTTGACTTCCCCAGCGCGGCATTTCACTTACGGCATTCCTTGAAATCGAAAATAATGCACAATTTCATACTCCATAAGACTTCGCCGACCCGCATCCTGACAAAAAATTTCCCGCCCCGCACTTGTCAATTTCTAGTCAATTTATGTCATGATTGGATTTTGACTTCCCCAGCGCGGCATTTGACTTACGGCATTCTTTGAAATTTAAAATAATGCACAATTACATGCTCCATAAGGCCCCGCCGACCCGCATCCTGACAAAAAATTTCCCGCCCCGCACTTGTCAATTTCTAGTCAATTCATGTCAAAATTGGATTTTGACTTCCCCAGCGTGGCATTTCACTTACGGCATTCCTTGGAATCGAAAATAATGCACAATTTCATACTCCATAAGACTTCGCCGACCCGCATCCTGACAAAAAATTTCCCGCCCCGCACTTGTCAATTTCTAGTCAATTTATGTCATTATTGGATTTTGACTTCCCCAGCGCGGCATTTCACTTACGGCATTCCTTGAAATCGAAAATAATGCACAATTTCATACTCCATAAGGCCCCGCCGACCCGCATCCTGACAAAAAATTTCCCGCCCCGCACTTGTCAATTTCTAGTCAATTTATGTCATGATTGGATTTTGACTTCCCCAGCGCGGCATTTGACTTACGGCATTCTTTGAAATTTAAAATAATGCACAATTACATGCTCCATAAGGCCCCGCCGACCCGCATCCTGACAAAAAATTTCCCGCCCCGCACTTGTCAATTTCTAGTCAATTCATGTCAAAATTGGATTTTGACTTCCCCAGCGCGGCATTTCACTTACGGCATTCCTTGGAATCGAAAATAATGCACAATTTCATACTCCATAAGACTTCGCCGACCCGCATCCTGACAAAAAATTTCCCGCCCCGCACTTGTCAATTTCTAGTCAATTTATGTCATGATTGGATTTTGACTTCCCCAGCGCGGCATTTCACTTACGGCATTCCTTGAAATCGAAAATAATGCACAATTTCATACTCCATAAGACTTCGCCGACCCGCATCCTGACAAAAAATTTCCCGCCCCGCACTTGTCAATTTCTAGTCAATTTATGTCATGATTGGATTTTGACTTCCCCAGCGCGGCATTTGACTTACGGCATTCTTTGAAATTTAAAATAATGCACAATTACATGCTCCATAAGGCCCCGCCGACCCGCATCCTGACAAAAAATTTCCCGCCCCGCACTTGTCAATTTCTAGTCAATTCATGTCAAAATTGGATTTTGACTTCCCCAGCGTGGCATTTCACTTACGGCATTCCTTGGAATCGAAAATAATGCACAATTTCATACTCCATAAGACTTCGCCGACCCGCATCCTGACAAAAAATTTCCCGCCCCGCACTTGTCAATTTCTAGTCAATTTATGTCATTATTGGATTTTGACTTCCCCAGCGCGGCATTTCACTTACGGCATTCCTTGAAATCGAAAATAATGCACAATTTCATACTCCATAAGGCCCCGCCGACCCGCATCCTGACAAAAAATTTCCCGCCCCGCACTTGTCAATTTCTAGTCAATTTATGTCATGATTGGATTTTGACTTCCCCAGCGCGGCATTTGACTTACGGCATTCTTTGAAATTTAAAATAATGCACAATTACATGCTCCATAAGGCCCCGCCGACCCGCATCCTGACAAAAAATTTCCCGCCCCGCACTTGTCAATTTCTAGTCAATTCATGTCAAAATTGGATTTTGACTTCCCCAGCGCGGCATTTCACTTACGGCATTCCTTGGAATCGAAAATAATGCACAATTTCATTCTCCATAAGACTTCGCCGACCCGCATCCTGACAAAAAATTTCCCGCCCCGCACTTGTCAATTTCTAGTCAATTTATGTCATGATTGGATTTTGACTTCCCCAGCGCGGCATTTCACTTACGGCATTCCTTGAAATCGAAAATAATGCACAATTTCATACTCCATAAGACTTCGCCGACCCGCGTCCTGACAAAAAATTTCCCGCCCCGCACTTGTCAATTTCTAGTCAATTCATGTCAAAATTGGATTTTGACTTCCCCAGCGCGGCATTTCACGTACGGCATTCCTTGGAATCGAAAATAATGCACAATTTCATACTCCATAAGACTTCGCCGACCCGCATCCTGACAAAAAATTTCCCGCCCCGCACTTGTCAATTTCTAGTCAATTTATGTCATGATTGGATTTTGACTTCCCCAGCCCGGCATTTGACTTACGGCATTCTTTGAAATCGAAAATAATGCACAATTACATGCTCCATAAGACTCCGCTGACCCGCATCCTGACAAAAAATTTCCCGCCCCGCACTTGTATATTTACAATGACAATTTATACTCAGATTATAAATATTTATTTGAACTGAAGTTACACAAGATTTGACTAAGAATTTGATATCGGCATCGGTTTTAACTCGCTCCGATTTTGATGGAACTATTATAATTATCAGTGCCTGGATAAATAATAGAACAGGATTTTTCATAATGCACAGTGTGAGCGAAGATATGATGGAATACGTAATGCATTTTTTCCACAACGAGAAAAATTGCAAGAGAAAGGCAAACGCTCGGTTGCGGATTTCACCATAGTTTCGTTTAATATGTAAGTTGATAATAGATGTGCATTTATTGAATTTAAATAATATTTATCGAGTAAGATCATGTTTAGTAAAACAGGCAGCAAAACATTTCAAATAGGCACGAGCTGAGCGTTGGCTCATACTCTCCTTCATAATAAACCGGTTGAGTCATACCCTCTGCTCCGAATTCTCGTCCCCACCTTTTAAGCTCATCAACGGTTTTCTCATCGTTCGTGGCCCCATTGGTTGATCCATCAGTCCGAATTAATCCTTCAAACATTTCCTAGTAGAAATTCAAAATTAATTAGTAATAGCGACACGGGCCAAGTATTTCAAGCATGGCGAATAAGACATACCTGGGTTATCAATGTTGTTGGCTTGCAGCCCACCTTCATAAGTTGGACAATATCGTTCACACCGTCGGAGGAAAAGTTACTAGTGTACTGAAGTGCTTGTAGTTTTGAAATGGCAACAGCAAGGTCGTGGGCAGAGAAACTAATGCGAAATAAATCGGTAATGTGAAATTAATTTGGTGAGAAGTGAAGAAACTATACATATATGTAATACAACATATGATATTATACATATATATAATACCCCTCAGTCATTGAAGATATTTTGCCAAGATCGAATGATTCCGTTAAAAGATTTGTTTTCTTTAAATAGTGTGCTAGTATTCGCTCCCTTGCAAAGGAATCGGGTAATCCAATATAAATTCTTTTCGAAAACCTTCGCCTGAATGCATAATCCAAATGCTGCGGAAAATTTGTCAATCCTGGGAAAATTTAGTTAACTTAAGCAACTTGAAACTATGTAATGGTCTGTGCCACCAAAGACTAACCCACGACCACAATTCCAGAATAATTATTTAGGCCATCCATGCACCTGTAATTAATTGCATAATAGCAAGATGCATAAATGCGTACTACAAGGATGCGTGATACAAAAAATGAAAATACTTACGAAAGAAATCCCGTCTTGAGCCGTCGAATGTGTTCAGGATCGTCCTCTTTTCGCTGACATAATAGAGAGTCGATCTCGTCAATAATTATTATCGACGGGCGCTTCTCATGAGCCAACTCGAAAATCCGACTGAGGTACTTGTCTGAGTCACCTGCAAAATATTGACAGGATAAATTTTAAGCTGGCATAAACAGTAAAAATTAACGACACAGTTAGCATACCTATCCACTTATGCAAGATGTCTTTTGGCTCTACCTTCCAGATGCTTATCGTTGGGAAGGTTTTGCACTTTTCCTCTTTTATATAGTTAAGCTCCCCCACAAGTCAGCTTAAGATATGGGTTTTTCCAACCCCAGAAGGTCCAAAAAGCAGCACGCCTTGAAGGTCACTGCCAAATTCTTTCTCCGCCACCAATGGTAGGAAAATGGTTTTCTTCATACTCACGATAACGTGGTCCAAACCAATCACGTCCGACAGCCTCCCACTTCCTGTTTTCACGAGACACTGTAAAATAATGTCATCAGTTATGGCAACTGTTTTTTCCTTTAATTTAACTGCTTCCTTATTAGTCGATTTTCCCTTTGTGGCATTTTCGTTGTTTTCGGTAAGATCTTGCATAGAAATGGTTTGTGTTCCGCTGTTGGCTGAGGGATTTACATATGAGAAATGGATTTCTGAATCCATACCCATTAGAGAAACTAACGGATTTGTTACTGGATTGAACGTCTCAGCCAAGCCACAGCTAACAGGCATAGTCAGTCTGACCGCTGTAGGTAAGTTGTTTGTGGTTGGCAGAACCTCAGGCTGTTTATGGTCCCCCGTTGCTGTCGAACGTTTGTCGTTTTCCTCAGTGTGGCAAATACCTAACAACGAAAAAAATAATAAGTTTTAATTTAGCCCACCAAAAAGTGGCATAATTCGACATTTTCTGAGCCGATTTTGATAAAGTGTTGCACCGATCATTTTTACGGGATTTCGAAACTATGCACAAGTCGAGTTCGAGAATTTTTTTATCTTTACCCAGGTGATATGCACCAAAATGTGCAAAACTTTTCCCTTCAAGACATTGCTTTCCATGCCTCGTAGGTAGTGTAACTCAGTACTGCAAACATTGTAGGAAAAGACATTCTGAACATTTTAAGTGCAAAATTACCTAAATCGGTTAAGAAATGGAGGAGTTATATAGATTGGAAAATCCAAAAAAAATATTCAGGATGGACAAATAATAGCGGTGTTGCGGTGCATATATTATTAATAACAACCAATTATTAGCTTTAAATACACAAGGTCCCAAAAAATTGGAAATCTTAGTGAGGCCGTGCAATATTAACTAATAAATTCAATTAGATTGAAGCATTTGTTTTTTATCGCTCTGGGTATCATTTTTGCTGGAACCATTCTGAATTTTGCTTTTCATACGCATGGATTCTTAATTTTTAAAAAAACGAGAAGTAATTTCAAGTTTCACACTAGAAGTTTGAAAATTAAATTAACTGAGATCAAATATGAAGGTTTAATAATTGTGAAGTACATACATATTTGTTTTAAAAAGTTACAAATCTAAAATTTTGAGATACTAATTTGGATATTCCGTATTTTTATTCTGATAAAATCATCAGACCGATTGAGGGGGACCAGTGTATTCTACTTAAGGGATTAATTCTTCCAGTAAAAAAGTGGTATGGAGAGCGGTGATACAAAAATTCTACAGTGTAATTTAATTTATTAGTTGTTCTTGCACGGTCTCGCTAAGATTTCCAATTTTTTGGACCTTGTTTATTATCAGAGTTGCCCTTAATTCCGCTTATGTTTTCTTCCTCGGTAATTTTCCTTTCCTGGTCAAGTTTCCCGTCATTGCAGCTTTCCTCCTCCTCGTCGCGTACACCCGTCTCTAATTCTGAGATAAGCACTTGTAGTTTCTCGTCGTCGTCGCTTTCAAATTGTGAAGATTTTCCGTCGTCGTCACTCTCCTCCTCTTCCATGGACTCCACATTGTCAGGGTGTACTCCAGCGATACACTTTTCTACAATTATTACACAAAAATTATAAAACAACTGCATAATACTTGAGAATGCGTGCAAAAATAAAGGGACGTGCATAAAATAAGTAACGATTTGGATGGACAGGGAGAGTATTTGGCCGAAGTTGCAATTAAACTTGCGCCACATGTTGAAACCAGGGCGCAACTGGTAACGCACGGGAAGGGAGGATTTTTAAAAAATCCCAGGTCTGCGTCATATATTTTATGACCGTTCCTTAACGTAGAAACTGTACCTTTTTCCAGTTCATGCAAGCAGACTATTGCTAAGTCCTCATTGACACCGATTAAATCTGTCAAGACTTGAAGTTGAAAAGTTGAGTCACGATCTAATATAACAAAACGCTTTTTAAGATATTTGTAATTACTGTAAAGAGTATTGGATCATATTTACATGCAGAAAATGTACATTATGCAAAATTTGAGGGAATGTACTTATGAATTTCTGACTACCCAAGTCGAGCAAATTGATCTAATCATTTGTGTATATTACCAATGGGCTTAGGAACTAAAGGCGAATACATGGTTGCATATCAGATTGGTAAAAAAATTATAAATGAAAATTAACCTTTTGAAAATCTTTTGAGGCACTTGTTGGCTTCGGTGAGGACCTCCAAAGCTTGCCGATACTGCCTCGTCCTGTGGTAATAAATTCCCATTTGAGATAAACTTTGACTTTTCTCAAAGTCGTCCATTTTTCAGTGAATTAATTAATTTATTTTCTAAGGATGCTTTGTGGGCAAAAGTGAATCTTAAAACTAAGAAGAAACCAAGATCAGATTGAGAAACTGGGACTGTGGATGAGAGTGAGAAATTTGATCTACTCTAACCCTGATCTTTAGGATTGTTTACTCAAGATTAAAATTTAACAAGCGGTCATAAGTTATACAATTTTGGATTCATTTTATTCAACTGTTAGATACAGTATGTAATTTATTTAATGCTACGATTTTTAATTTAAAATTCAAATTCAATTTTCCCAACAACCTTTATTTTATTGTCCGCGAGTCATTTTAAAACAATTCTTATATTTATATAATACACGCCAAATGGGAAGATGAATGCTAGACCACAGTTCGCTTTTGTTCCAAATTGACCAAGATTCGTTTTTAACAAATCGAGATAAACCTCCTTGGCCATGCTGGCATCGACATGCATAAGTGCTACTACCCTGCAGAATTTTGAAAGCTTTACACAAGACGCTATTGGGGGACATAGACATAAAATATTTTATTTAAGCAGTTTTATCATAATTCCTTTGAAAATTGGTCACAATGCCGTCTAATATATTGTCACTAAATGGCATTGAAATACCTACCTACCTTTCTTATGAAAATTGAGTTTTAATTTGAAATTAAAAATCGTAGCATTAAATAAGTTACATACCGTAAAATTTATTTAATTGTTGTGCCATCCTCTCATTTACTCATTACTCAATCGCACCTCGCTCTAATGTAATTAGGAAGCTGTCCGACACCATAATAAATGGACGTCTCCACAAACTGATGGACGACGCCGAAGGAGAACAGAAGAAAATATTTGTGAGTCATTCCGGCACGATGTATCACCATCCGGAACTATTCTTTGGTGGCCGAAGCGTGGAGGCAGCTGGATGGCAGTCCACAATGGCCACGTTAGAGGATTTAAGTTCAGTGCATACCCACATTATGCACCCACTACGTCATGGGGACCACTGGCTGCTGACCACGGTCGAAATAAAGACCAGGACACTTCAACTGTACGATCTCCTGGATCACGACAACAATTATCTCAAGAATATAACAGATAATTTAACCCACTTTTTTGATGAAGTTTTCACCCAGAAAAGGGTTGGCGAACCCCAAACAAAAAAACATTGGACGGTGGAGTTCCCAGGCTGTCCTAAACAGAGGGATTCTTCATCTTGTGGAATTTACATAATAAAATATGCCCTCCAATACTATCAAGCTTTCCCACATATCAAGCAAATTGAAATCAACCAAAATGAAACAGAGGATCAACTCAGAATGGATATTGCACAGGAAATGATCAATTCTGAGGAAGGAAAACCGTTTTTGGCAAAATTTGGAGAAGATGCAGAATTATTCATAAAAAATCTAAAGTTGCAAGACCCCAACATAATAAAATCTTTGCAGAGCAAGTAAGTAAATTATTTTGCTGTGACGAAAATATAATATTACCTACTAGTCATCCAGTATTATTAGCCGCAAAGGTCCGACAATTTTCCTGAGAAGTTTTTTGGCCATATATTACTCAAATAAGTTTAGTGATTGGCAGCAATAGCGAAACTGTTGCAAAATAAGTAAAACGACGACGATGGTGTACAAATTTTTATTCCTAAAGTTTATTTTACCTGCATGGTAACCTTTCAGAATTTTTTGCGACTAATAATATTGGATAAACAGTTAATTTTAAAACTTATTTAGCACGATTAATTGACACCGTTTCTATGGGGTGGTGCCCCATACGGTTGCGACAAATGGATTATTTTTTAGAAAATTTTCATTTTTTAAATCGTTGGGGCAAAAGTCCTTTGGTTTGCCCCAACGACTTTAACCTTGAATAACTTTTGAATAGGCAGACAAAGAGACTAAATTCCTGAGGATGAAATCATCCTAATTTTTAGCTTGATTTTTTAAGCTGAAAATCTCGAGTGTACTACTTCGAAAATTAAAATGTTTATTTTGAAGAATATCTCCAAAATATAAGTTTTTCAGGAATTTCGAAGCCAATTCTTATCTCACAAAATTTTATAATATACAAAACTGATCGTATTATCTAGACCGATCGATTGACACCCCACTGGAGGGTGTGAGATCACTTGGTCCGGATTTGACCTAGGGGGTCATCTCAATCCTCCAACTTAGCAACGGTCCACTCACACCATTTTGTCAGTACATAATAATTCAAATTTAATTTCTTCAAAAATGAAAATTTGTGTTGGAAACAATTCATTTGTCGCAACATGTATAGAATGATAAAGTGTCAAATAATATTGCTTATTTAGTAACCTGAAAAACACGAAGAAACCGAGCATGCAAAGCGAGAATGCCCAACCAACCAACAGAAGGTATACCAGTATAAAAGACAATTACATTTTCATGATACAATATTTTATTATAAAATTACAATAATTAAATTACAAGCAAATCCATCAAACTAATTTTTTGTAGTCCCCAACTGCTGAATTTGTCCGGCGATGAAATTACGACATCCAATTTGGAGAGAAAATTTAGAAAAATAGTTGAGGATGTGTTAACTGACCAACATGGAAATTTGGGTAACATTACATATAGACATTTAGAATTTACAAATAATCAAGTATCAAGAATTCGTATAATAAATTTCGGAAATACTTTTAGAAAAGCAGAAGACAAGGGTCAAAACTCTAGGGAAGGACCACATAGCTAAGGAGAAGGATAAATACAAGCGATATAAGGACACATACTTTATAATTTAATCCATAAACGGGAAAAAAATTGAAATCACTTTTTCTTTAACTACTCAGGTTAATTGAAGCTCTTAGTGAAGAGTCAATCATGAAAGCTTATCACGAGATTAAGTTAGACGTGCTGCAAATTTATGTCCCCAAACCGGAAACATTTTCAGGGGAGTATAAATGCCCTCGTCAAAAGGTGTTATGGTTATACTTATATATTCTAAAACAATGTTTAAACTAATTTTCGTGATTGAAAGATCTGGGTCGAACAGAAGCCAAACTTTTGTGCAAATTTACAACAAATGGTCGTCTCGTATCCCTTTTCTGCAAAATCTTTCCAAATCATTTCCACCCAACTTTCTTCTGATCTGAGGAAAGCAGAGAACCTGGAAACCCTTGCATTCAATGTCAGTATAGCAGGTTAAATGCACCAAGTTATTCCGCACTTAAAAATATTATTGATTTTGCAGGATATTCTACAAGTATCCAACGTGCTCGTACCCGAAGCTTTTGAACGGATTTACTCCAAAATTATGCAAATGCCTCTCGAACACGCTCAGAGGGAACTGGAAAACAATTTTCCAACTTAACAAACGCGCAACAAAAATTCCATTCAGGAGCGTACAAAATTATTTTACTCTTTTAACTAATCTTTTCACAAATAACTAATTAAACAAACTCCAACAAATTTTAACCTATTTTAATTTTTTCAATCGTGTAAATAAATTTATTTATATACATTCCATCAATTTAGTCTGCATGAAAATGTATTGACTCGCGACGCGGGACCAATTTTTATCCACGGCAGCAACCCTTATGCACATCGTGTAATTGCGCATTATTATTTGAAGTGATTCCGTAACTTCTGCTCATATAAATATTTATAATGTGATGAGTACAAATTGTCATTGTAAAAATACAAGTCCTGGGCAGGAAATTTTTTGTCCGGATGCGGGTCGGCGGAGTCTTATGAAGCATGTAATTGTGCATTATTTTAATTTTCAAAGAATGCCGTAAGTCAAATGCCGCGCTGGGGAAATCAAAATCCAATCATGACATAAATTGACTAGAAATTGACAAGTGCGGGGCGGGAAATTTTTTGTCAGGATGCGGGTCGGCGGAGTCTTATGGAGCATGTAATTGTGCATTATTTTAAATTTCAAAGAATGCCGTAAGTGAAATGCCGCGCTGGGGAAGTCAAAATCCAATCATGACATAAATTGACTAGAAATTGACAAGTGCGGGGCGGGAAATTTTTTGTCAGGATGCGGGTCGGCGGAGTCTTATGGAGCATGTAATTGTGCATTATTTTCGATTTCAAAGAATGCCGTAAGTGAAATGCCGCGCTGGGGAAGTCAAAATCCAATCATGACATAAATTGACTAGATATTGACAAGTGCGGGGCGGGAAATTTTTTGTCAGGATGCGGGTCGGCGGAGTCTTATGGAGCATGTAATTGTGCATTATTTTCGATTTCAAAGAATGCCGTAAGTGAAATGCCGCGCTGGGGAAGTCAAAATCCAATCATGACATAAATTGACTAGAAATTGACAAGTGCGGGGCGGGAAATTTTTTGTCAGGATGCGGGTCGGCGGAGTCTTATGGAGCATGTAATTGTGCATTATTTTAAATTTCAAAGAATGCCGTAAGTGAAATGCCGCGCTGGGGAAGTCAAAATCCAATCATGACATAAATTGACTAGAAATTGACAAGTGCGGGGCGGGAAATTTTTTGTCAGGATGCGGGTCGGCGGAGTCTTATGGAGCATGTAATTGTGCATTATTTTAAATTTCAAAGAATGCCGTAAGTGAAATGCCGCGCTGGGGAAGTCAAAATCCAATCATGACATAAATTGACTAGAAATTGACAAGTGCGGGGCGGGAAATTTTTTGTCAGGATGCGGGTCGGCGGAGTCTTATGGAGCATGTAATTGTGCATTATTTTCCATTTCAAAGAATGCCGTAAGTGAAATGCCGCGCTGGGGAAGTCAAAATCCAATCATGACATAAATTGACTAGATATTGACAAGTGCGGGGCGGGAAATTTTTTGTCAGGATGCGGGTCGGCGGAGTCTTATGGAGCATGTAATTGTGCATTATTTTCGATTTCAAAGAATGCCGTAAGTGAAATGCCGCGCTGGGGAAGTCAAAATCCAATCATGACATAAATTGACTAGAAATTGACAAGTGCGGGGCGGGAAATTTTTTGTCAGGATGCGGGTCGGCGGAGTCTTATGGAGCATGTAATTGTGCATTATTTTAAATTTCAAAGAATGCCGTAAGTGAAATGCCGCGCTGGGGAAGTCAAAATCCAATCATGACATAAATTGACTAGAAATTGACAAGTGCGGGGCGGGAAATTTTTTGTCAGGATGCGGGTCGGCGGAGTCTTATGGAGCATGTAATTGTGCAT